AGTAGGCCTTTCTTTACCGCTGGAGGAAGAAGCCACGCATTCTAGCAAGATAACGACCCCTTCTCAGAAAAGGCCGTGATCGGGATTCCTCGGATGTCTCTAAGGCCGTAGTAGTAAACGGGCATCCTGACCAAAGGACTTACACAATCTTTCCTAACGTAACTGAGTAAGGGAGACTGCACCAATATCACCCTCAAAAGACGTTATTTGGAGCTGCAGTTTGACGTCTTCTGATATAATCGGTTGTCCTAAAGGAGCTTGAAAAACTCAAACCGGTTTTTGCATAGTAAATAGACGAAGCTATGAAGCTGGCATCAAATGGAAGTCGGGTTCTCTGAACGTCAGTGGAAGATCGCAAACTCCACTAATGTCTAGCAGTTTGACGAGTTCTTTTCAATAGCCAGATCGAAAGTTAAATGGACTTCGTGAGGACTGCTGATACACCTGTGACCTATGAGAAGAATTCTGGCTGTAATTTGTTGGTGTAAGAGGCCTCACAGGCTGTGGAAACCCATCGCTCTGCGCTAAAACTTCTTTCCTAAAGTCGATCTCGGTCATCGCTGCTCGGCTAGCAGACAACCGTACGAATAACCTAATACAAAAGGCCTGTTTTGCAGGCACACACTCGCAGCTGCATATTATTAACATTCCCATCCACGGAGCACAGGAGACCGTAACTGATTTCAGCGATAGAAACACTGATACATCACAACAATCGACTCTTTGGCAGATGTTTTAAGGAGGGAGATGGCATTGTCTTCCCTGGTCTGAAGTCGCCCTGTTTTGTCAACAGGTTTCTTAAGGGTGGTCATCGACCGACCCTAAGACGTTAACGAGGCATCTAGGATGGCTCATTGAACATCTTTGTAAATGATTCGTTCAAGACCAACTACAGTAATCCGCTGAGTCCAAAATCTCTTCTTATGTTTGGACTCTATAATTGATGTCGACATCCAGAAAGGTAACGCCAACTCACAGGACAGTCTTTCGTCAGATTTGCTGCAAACTTTCAGAACCGCATCATGGTGCTCACAGGCAGATGACTGTTCGGTTTTCAGCCCTGATCTCACGATACCAAGGTGACGATAGCGCAAGCAAAAGTAGAACGAGTCTTGCTTTAAACAAACAGGCTAGCAGGGCATCTGGCACATAAAAAATGATGCGTCAGCCGCTGGCGGCTCGACCGAGGCAGTCTGTTATTTGCAAAAACTGGTCCGATCCGTTTAAAAAGGGGAATATAGCACTTACATCTGTCTGCATATGCCGCATATCAAGTCCGAGTCGATACCGCCGTCAGCCATCGTGCCGCCGGAAAAACTAAGTAGGTCTGTCTGTGCCAGCCGCTCACCAAGCCACTCGCCGCTAAACTCGCCACGCTAGCTCGCCGCGATTACATCGAATTAGGTGATTCGCTGTCATGGCTGTCAGCTGATTGGTCCAAATTCCAGAAGCTCGCCAGATAACCGGCGTTGGCATCACGTGGCCCTCGAGCCTGCAACTCGCTGGTGTGCCGAGGAATGCGTAAGCGGCCAGTCATGACGGGCTGACAATGGCTACTAAGCCAGGATTGGCCATTCCAGTCTCCCTTGTCTTTGTCGGTAATACCATTCTGCCTATATCATGCGCTGCTGTGCGGCTGCTAGTTGGACTCAAGAGAGAGCCCTAAGACACAACGGGACGAGTGAGTTCCGTAGAAACGATAAATAAGTGATGCTTACAGTCACATTGAATTTTAGGGTATATTTCTGGAGTTGCGATCTACTTGGGTGTCTTACACCCTATCGTTACCAAGATTTTCAACTCCAAGCAAAAGTCGTCGTCTAGCCGAATGGGTTCCCCCGATAATCCCCTGTGTGAATAAGGGAGAAGACTGGTCTGGCACCGGCAAAATTTGTTTATTTGTCTGTTTTTAAACTCGTTCAGAACTCTGTTGTCAGAGGTAAAAGCAGCAACAGAGCAGGTAGTTACAGGGGAGGATTAGACAATAAAGTTTCGGTGACGCAGGTCTGGAGGCGGCTGCGCAAGGCTCTGTATGGAGGCACCCGAACAATACATCTATCGATTGATTAATTTCTCATCCGAGGCCCGAACTTCAGAGTTCTCGGCTAGTCTTCTTTCAGGCACGGGTGTTCGCCTATGTGTCTGCGAAGTTGGACTCGTGACCTGTTTCCAAGATATACGCAACCACTTTTGATAATTTGTCACCCTGTCGCACAACCAGCTCGTTTTCGTGGGTATGTGGTCCGAGCATGCGTTTAGTCTGATCTGTGTAAGTACAGTGACAGGTTAGGCTTGGGCCTATCCCAAACGGATGGCCATATCTTCGAAACAGATCACGAGTTTAACTTTGCAGCCACCAAGTTCATCCCTCGCACCGGGAACGAGACTAGACGTGAGCTGATTGAAGCCTGGCCCTCGGACGAGACGAGAGTGACGTTCGTGGGGGCCCCGGTTGCAGTTTCTCCAGACGCTAAGTGAAAATGAGACAGAACAAGAAGAAACAAGTAGCCTAGTTAAACAAACTCCAGTGCACGTAGCCTAGAAGTAACTTCAAAGAAATGCAAAAGTGGTACAGTATTCTATTTCCAATTTGTAATTCCATCGTGAATTCTCCTAGACGTTTGATTTAAGTCATTTGAACTCGACGTGTCGGGCCAGGTAACTCTGTGTACGTGTATGTTTGATTTGAATACTATCGACCGCAGCTGACGACTGCAGTTATACATTCGCAGATTTAGCTTTAGCGAGCGCTTCGTATCGAGATTCGTCTCAATATGTTCTCAACACGAATACTGGCTAAAGGCAACAAACACGTTTTTCCAAGTGTCTGATGCTGCATCGCGCAAATGCGGGGACTTCAGAGCCTCAACAGATCTCCCAGGGTTTTCCGTGTGTTGGGGCAGAATAAGGCAAATTCCGATTCAGAACGTGTACTATGGCCGCATTTTTGCTCGTAACTAGTGCTAGAGATTTCCCTGTTTGAGGAGGGGTTATAGAACGAGGGCAACGGGACCGAAATAATGTCAACAGATCAGTGCATTACACTAAAATCTAAGAGCCAGACACTGCAAACGCTCGAAGACTGTAAAAAGCTATGGGAAAACAAAATATCAGGGCAGAACATCGGTCACGATTAGGGGTAGTTCGGATTTAATTCTATGCAAACACACTATCGCATATGTCAGCGTACGGTAAGTCTAAGATAAATATAGCGTCCGTTTTCACTTAACTTTTGCACACTGGGAAATGACAATACGAACGTTGTTGCCGACGGTGTCCAGCGTGTGCTTCACAGCGAGGTGAAGCAGGCAGGGTGACTAGCGCGTAAATTAGATTATAGTGAATTAAGACTTGCGCGGCATTTACCGCACTCTCTCATCCGCCCCCCCCCCCTTCCCCACCCGGACCCGGTGTCAAGACATAGTCATGAAGACCGGAGGTGGGAGAGGGTGCAAGTGGCTACCGCGGCCACGGCCGCCACACCCGGTTCGAATGACACGAAGTGGGAGTGTCATAAAAGCCACATTAAGTAGGAGCCATTGCAGCCTCTTAGACCAGCACTCGGCCGCTCCACACAAACACACAACACTGGGTCGATTGCGAGGTCCAAGTCATGTTTTAGCGCACCGTAATAGCTTCAAGCGCGTCACATTGTTTATAGTGAAGAGAGTGCGCTGAGTCGTTGACTTCACTCTCCCTTTCCGTTCACAGGCCCCAGCCACTCTCTGAGCCGGTCAGTTGACAAGTTCGGGGAATGGACGTGGTAGCTGACATATCTAATGATCATGTCTGCGCGTGCCACATGCACGACCTGGTCCCCCAAACACAAGCACCAGGATTTCGCCCAACGGAAACTGGACGGCATGCATCTCACATGCGTGTGGGTGCGTAGGTCTGCTGAACTGCTGAGCAGTGAACGGAAAGGGAGAGTGAAGTCAACGACTCAGCGCATTTTCCTCACTATAAACAATCTGACGCGCTTGAAGCTATCACGGTGCGCTAAAAGCCGTGGCTTGGAAGGTTGCCAACTGACGGGGTACCTTGGACCTCCTCCTTAACGGGAGGCGGTCTGAGAGTCAGGCTGCAATGGCTCCTTTTTAATGTGGCCTTTATGGCATTCCCACCACAGTGTGGGATCCGAGCCAGGCGTTGGCGGCACGCCCAGGTGCGGCTTCGGCCGTGCCAGCCTCCAAATCTCTGTTGTGTTGGTTGAAATCCTGGTTATTGTTGTGTGGACCAGGGGGTGTGGTGGAACGCCAAGGTGAGGATCCGTCCGAGCCATCCACCTGCGGCCTCCCTCGTCTCCGGTCTTCTTGACTCTGTCTTGACACCGGGCCCAGGCGGGGGAGGAGGAGAGAGTGTAGGTAGATGCTACGCAAGTCTACTGGCACTATAAACCCCTGCGTAAGTCACCGTCCCTGCTCCCACTGCTCCTGCAGCTGTGGGGCACACGGTGGACATCGTCGAAATCGACGGTCGAACTGTCGTGGGTGCGTAGGTCACGTTAAGAAGGGGGCATTTGGCCTGACTCTCAGCCCACCAGTTCGCCTCTCCAAACAGACGCACACAGAACTGGGCAGGCTGCGCGGGCTAAGTTGGGGCGTCAATCAGCAGTCTTCCAAGCCACAGTGCTCGACGCACCATGATAGTCTCAGATTCGGGTGTTGGTGAAGGCAGATTTGATGATGTGGTGTAGTTGGTGGTTTTCCATCGTAGGTTTTCGTGAATGCACGCATGTCCTGGTATGTCCATGCGATGAGTGAGTGTGCGGGTGAAGTGAGGGCAGTTGCGGCGGATGCGGCGAGTGTATATGTTGGTGATCCAGGCACTGGTTCGCCAGTCTCTGTGCAATGGATTCGCAAGTGATCGGCCAGCCGATTTGTGAGGTGAAGGTGCAATCGCAATGAGGGCAGGTATGGACAGAGTCCAAATCGCTGGCCTTTACGGTGGGGAGGTTGGTGTTTGTCCGTGTGTCAGTATTGTGTACAGCGATGGCAGGGTTAGGAACCGCTGTAGTGGATGTTGAGGCAATAGAGGAAAAGGAGGAGGAGGTGGAGGGGGGATAGTGGTATTGGGGGTTCGGGAGTGCGGTCAATGTTAGTTGGCGTGGAGGATGAGGCGGAGTTGGACGAGGAGAGAACAACTAGTGTAGTCCAGGTGCTGCAGTTGGTACGCTGATGTCCTACAAGGCCGATCGGTGCCCGGAACGTCCGATGGCAGCGTGGGCAAGTCGGGGTTGGTTGAGCGTTGGCGTTGCGAGGTGGGCGCATTTGAGGTTTGCGAGCGTCGCGTTTTGCTTTGGCGGCGGTGATGCGGTTGGCTTCATAGGCCGCTGCGCGTCTTCGCTGTCCTCCTCCAGGTCGGCCGGTCTCGGGCGCCGTCTTCCCAGTTGGCCGCGTTGATCTGTAGACGCGTTAGGTACGTCCTCAGATGATCCTTGAAACAGAGGACTTGGCGTCCTTGTCGGCGGAACCCGTGGCGACATCTCCGCTGAAGAGCCGCCTGGGTAGCCGCTCATCGTCCACACGCACGAGGTGGCTGCTCCAGCGCAGTTGCAGTTGTCTCAGCATGGTGTAGATAATGAGGATTCCCGTCCGTTCCATCTGAGTTAATCACTCGGGACAGCCGAGTTGCTGCAAGATTGTCCATAGTCCTTAGCGATTCATCGCGTCGAAGGCTTTCGTCAGATCCACGAAGGTAGAGTAGAGGTGGATCTGCATTTCCCGACACTTCTCCTGAAATTGGCGGGCGGCGAAGATCATGTCGGCGGTCCCAAGATGACGACGGAAACCGTACCGGCTTTCCGGCGGGAGACCCTATTCCAGATGTTTGTTGAGACGATTGAGAAGAATGCGAGCGAAGATCTTCCCAGCGATGTTCAGCAGGGAAATGCCTCGATGGTTTTCGCAGTCCTAGCAGTTCCCTTTCCGCTTGTGGAGGTGCACGATTGTGGCGTCCTTGAAATGCTGCGGGACTTGTCCTTCACGCCACATCTCCTGGAAGAGCGCCGTTAGATTACCCATGAGTTGGGGGCTACCGTGTTTGTAGATCTCAGCAGGGATCGTGTCCGATCCGGCCGATTTCCCGTTGGAGGGTTGTTGCACGGCCTCGCTGGTTTCGGGGAGAGAGGGCGGGAGGTCGAGGTCAGCGTTGGTCTCCACTTGAGGCAGACGGGTGATGACAGCGTTGGAGATGGCGAAGGGACGGTCTAGGACGCCTCTGAATTGCTCGGCCCATCGCTGTGGAATTTACGTCTTCCCACTGAGTAGGGTACTGCCGTCGGCGCCGAGGAGAGGAGTAGTAGCTTTGGTTGGCGGACCGTAGTCAGCCTTGATCGCGGAGAAGAAGTCCTTCCATTCGTTGCAGTCCGCGTACCCTTGGATTTCCTCGGCCTTACGGGCCGTCCAGGCGTCCTTCATCTCCAGCAGCAGCTGTTTCACAAGGCGGTGACTACGGTCGAAGGCTGCTCTGTTGTAATCGGTGGGGCAGTTGACGTAGGCTTTGCGCAGTCGGTTCTTTTCGGCGAGCAGGTTGCTGATGTTGGCATCGTTGTCATCGAACCAGTCCTAATTTTGGCGACGTGAGCGACCGAAGACAGCCAGGGCCGTCGACTGGACTGTAGCCCGCAGTTGACACCGTCGGTTCTCGACGCAGGCGTTCTCCTTGATGGCGACGGCGACGGTGACGGCGGAGGCAACTGGAATTCTCGTTCATTGCTGAAGTGGAGATGGTGAGCAGGCAAAGACAACCGAGCAATAGTCAGCTCACCTGAGGCCGCTTACCCTAAGGCCTCCTGCGAGGCTGTAGTCAAATCCGCATCTTGGAGATGACGAGGCAATGGTCGGTCCATCCATTAGCACCCGGAATCACCTTCGTCATCGGCACGTCCCGCTGGTCTCGCCTCCAGACGAAAACATAGTCCAGCATGTGCCACTGACGCGACCGAGGATGCATCCAGATGGCCTTCTCTCGCATCGAAAGGCGGAAGAAGGTGTTGGTTAGGATGAGGTGGTGTTCCGCGCAGGTTCGTAGAAGGAGCAGGCCATTTTCGTTGGGGCCGTCGAGACAATGGAGACCCAACACTCCTCTCCAGGCAGCATGATCTGTGCTGACGCGGGCGTTTGAGTCACCAAGGACAGTCAACATATCCGCCTTCGGAGCAGTCGCCAGGAGTGCGTGCAGATCTTCGTAGAACCTTATCTTCGCCTCGTCAGAGCCGGTCATTGTTGGAGCGTAGGCTCTGAGAATGTTGGCCAAGTTTGATCCTCAAAGAGCCAGACGCAGGATAATCAGTCTGCCCTACGGCAGACAGGGCAGTCGTCCAACAATGTCGTTCCGGATGGTAAAGCAAACGCCCGCTCCACGTCGCTCTGCCCTGCGGCGACCACTGCAGAAGAATGTGTAGCCGGCACCCACATCCTTCAGTTGGCCTTGCTTGGAGAAACGGGTCTCGTTGGGTACAGCGATGTCCGCCTTGTAGCGCGCCAGTTCACGAGCCACTAGAGCCGTCCTCCGTTCCGGTCGGTTGCTCCTCGGATTGTCCAAAAGGGAACGAACATTCCAGGCTGCCAGAGTGCGCGGACCCACCCAAGCAGCTTGTAGGGGA